AGGGGGGGGGGGGGCTATTTGTTTGTTTGAAAGAAAAACCAGTGTTGGTTCCAGCTAAATGACATGGGGTCCTGTTTCAAATGTATGTGAGATATTTATTTTTTTTAATGTTTAAGTTCCTATCAAAATAACCACTCTTCAAAAGAAATCGACAGGTCCAGTTGACCAGAGTGAGGAGCACAGGACCACACAACACTGACCACTCAGAGAGACAGTCAGAGAAGTAGCAGAGCTTCTCAAAAGAAACAAACAAACAAACAAAAAGCAAACGTCCAAAATCTTCACAGGAACAAAACTGTAGTACGGTCAAAAATATATGGCGCAACTTATCCTCGATCAAATACCTCTTTAACGGGTGAATCACTGTCACCCATACTTTGCACAGCAGTTTGTAATCAATTTGTCTGAACTTAATCATACTTTTCCACAACAATTGAGGCTAGATTTAAAAACTTTTGTTTATAAATTTGTATAAAATTCTATAAATCTCCATCACGCAGAAAATGTCATTGTTCACAGCACTTCCCTCTTCTCACATACATTTTTTATATACGTATATGGCCTCCGTCACAGCTCACCAATGACACTTTATAGTGGCAAAACTTGTGACAAGAAATCAATTTTAAAGTGAACACATTTTTGCACTAAAGGTTCCCTAAACATACGTTCAATAAGCATAATGTTGCCATTAGAAACAAATGACAGACTTGCCTTTCAAAGCAATATTGCCCAGCTGTAAACTTTTTGTAATCTGCAGAAACCATCGACGGGGATTTTTTTATTAGTATTTATTAGGAATTTTCTAGAATACTTAATACAGTGTACAGGAGTTTGAACAAATGTTCACCTGTGAAGACAAATTGATATAAGTCATCGGGCAAAAGTTGGAGAATCTATGTTTGATGGTTAAGGAGATATTTGACAAAAAGTTGGCGCCGTACACTTTTGACCGCACTATACAAAGAAAATAAGTTGTTGATAGGCCGGCAGGCAGTTAGACAAAGGGTGCCATAACATAGAAGTCTTGCTGTGGATTAAATGACCGATTGTCTGACAAAAAAATCAATGCACCAGGATATTAGATCTAGTTGCCTAAAAAAACTAATTAGTATAAAACAAAAAATGCATAACATAAGTGTGAATACATGATGCACTACTAAATACGAGGAGGGGGGGGGGGGGTTAAGTTTAAGTAAGAATTTTATGGCACTTGTAACACAAATGGGTCGTAGAAGTGCCGAAGATTGGAGATATCACTAAGAAAAAGAAAGAGTCGAGATAAAGACGAGAAGTTCAATACCGATAGGAAAGGAGGAGCAAACCACATCAGAGCACCTGTCAACTGCCCACTAAAAAGGGAACCCCCCGGACAGTAAACAGGAAAGAAGGAGACACAGAGGAGACACAGAGGAGACAGAGAGGAGGCACAGAGGAGACCCTCCAACCCCAGGCAGTACAGAAAACTCTAGAAGACTGATGAGATCTATGAACATATCTCAAAACAAACTCTTGGACTACTTGTTCATAAATCTGCTATCATTTTAGTTTTCGTAAGTGTGTTAAGGTACTTACAACACAATAAGGTCATAAAAGTGTCGAAGATTAGAGGTGTTACAAGAGAGTAACAGCAAACACAAAAAAAGAAGAAGAGATATGGACGACAGCTGTCTGATAGGAAAGAAGAAGCGAACCACACCAGAGCACCCGCCAACCACCCAAAGCACAACAAAGAGAGGCAGACCACACCCAGTAGCAGAAGTAGTGCGCCTACCCGCCGCCCGCCAAGAGAAAGAAACAAAGAAACAAGTCCATGACAAAAAGTCACAACGAGCCACTCGGAGCACGAGAAATAGTAGGGGGGTGTCACCGACCAGAACCAAAATGTCCCTGTCACTTTCTGAAGGACTCTCAGAGAGATCCTGCCTTCATCCACGCTCCAGACACAACTGGAACAGTGTCAGGCTTCAACACTTTGCCCCGTCACATCTTGCCGATCGGCCATGTTTACCATCTAGTTTCTTTAGATTTTTCCCCACATGCCTTTGCCTTTGATGGAAAGGGTTTGTACTACATGTATACATCAGCCTTGTGATGGCAAAGTGTTCAGCCATTTCATTCTTTTTCTAAAATGTTGTCGGGCATAGATGGATTGATCTGCCCTGAGCAGTTTAAACAAAAGGAGGGCACTTTAGCTTAGTCTTCGTAAGTTTTACGGCACTTGCAACACTGAAATGTGCAAAAACTGACATCAAGAAAATAAACAGGCTGAAAGTGGCACCTTAGCTGGAAGAAAAGTAAAAATAACCTCTATCAACAAAAGGGGAGAAGGGGGGGGTGTGTTTCCAAACATTAAGGATAAAGAAGAAAGGCGTAAGTAAATCCAAGCCGTCCGATGCAGTATTAGTACAGGCAGAGAGAGCAAGGGGGTTTCATCAGCAGCAGCCCCGAGATAAAAAACCAAAAAACGAGAAAAAAAAGGTAACCCTCTCTCCATTTACCTGGAGCAGAGTTTACAGTGGGGGGGCAGCTGTTGCTGCACGCCTTTATTTTCGCTGCAAGGTCAAAGGTTATGGGGCCATTATTTACGACAAATGAAGTAATAAATCAAAAACCTACAACAACTACAGACGTGCAAATTTGGCTAAAATTCCCCCAGGATCTCCGTGCAGCACGTGGTGGTCTTGTCCCTTCAGGAGGCTTTGCAGTACGCATTGGTAACCCACTAACACTTTCAGAGCAAACATTTTTTTAACATCCCTTGCTGTCTTTTTTTTTTAGAATTTTACAAAATCAGGGCTGTCTGTCAAGGTGGTCCCTAACTTATGTTGAAGTCTGTATACACTAACACTTATACACAGCAACTACACACTGGAAAAACATTTTTTTGTGCTCCCTTTCTGATTTTGAACCTGAAGCTTGTACGTCAGGAGCTCTGGACAACAAGCTTCTACGTCAGGAGCTCTGGACAACAAGCTTGTACGTCAGGAGCTCTGGACAACAAGCTTGTACGTCAGGAGCTCTGGACAACAAGCTTGTACGTCAGGAGCTCTGGACAACAAGCTTCTACGTCAGGAGCTCTGGACAACAAGCTTCTACGTCAGGAGCTCTGGACAACAAGCTTCTACGTCAGGAGCTCTGGACAACAAGCTTGTACGTCAGGAGCTCTGGACAACAAGCTTCTACGTCAGGAGCTCTGGACAACAAGCTTCTACGTCAGGAGCTCTGGACAACAAGCTTCTACGTCAGGAGCTCTGGACAACAAGCTTCTACGTCAGGAGCTCTGGACAGCAAGCTTGTACGTCAGGAGCTCTGGACAGCAAGCTTGTACGTCAGGAGCTCTGGACAGCAAGCTTCTACGTCAGGAGCTCTGGACAGCAAGCTTCTACGTCAGGAGCTCTGGACAACAAGCTTCTACGTCAGGAGCTCTGGACAACAAGCTTGTACGTCAGGAGCTCTGGACAACAAGCTTGTACGTCAGGAGCTCTGGACAACAAGCTTCTACGTCAGGAGCTCTGGACAACAAGCTTCTACGTCAGGAGCTCTGGACAACAAGCTTCTACGTCAGGAGCTCTGGACAACAAGCTTCCACGTCAGGAGCTCTGGACAACAAGCTTCCACGTCAGGAGCTCTGGACAACAAGCTTCCACGTCAGGAGCTCTGGACAATAAGCTTCTACGTCAGGAGCTCTGGACAACAAGCTTCTACGTCAGGAGCTCTGGACAACAAGCTTCTACGTCAGGAGCTCTGGACAATAAGCTTCCACGTCAGGAGCTCTGGACAACAAGCTTCTACGTCAGGAGCTCTGGACAACAAGCTTCTACGTCAGGAGCTCTGGACAATAAGCTTCCACGTCAGGAGCTCTGGACAATAAGCTTCTACGTCAGGAGCTCTGGACAACAAGCTTCTACGTCAGCACAGAGACCAAATATAACGTTTTTAGTAAGAGTTTTAACTATAGCAATCAGAACAGCACAATTAGGTCAGGTAAGTGCTGGCAATTTAGAGGTGTTACTGGAGAGGAATATTACACAGACAAGAAGGAGGAGACATAAGAACGATAGGAAAGGAGGAGCAAACCACCCACACAAAATAAAACTGTCATGATAGTTTTGTGGAAACTTTTGACAAACTTCAGTACAGTCTTTCCCAGTTTTCCACTCGCTGGCATACTAAAGAATCTGTTATTCATTTTCCTGTACAAACAATCCAATCATGTTCCACACGATACAACGGTGGGTGAGGTGGGAGCTAGCCAACAGAGGGGTGGGAGGATATAGATAGATACAAAATAGTGAAAAACAAAAAACCAGACTAATCGCGACCTCAGTGCTTTCTAGTTGTATCTGCATTTCTTTTTAACTGAAAATGTGACGTCTTCTTAAGCTCACTCTTTTGTTATGAACTGTTTTCACTGTTCTAATTTGCGGGTTCGGGGGTTCGAGCCGCGGGCCTGACGCTGTGTCCTTAGGCAAGGCACTTTACACGAGTTTTCCTAACTTCACCCAGGTGGGAATGGGTACCCGGCCATAGACAGCGAAAGATCTTGTCAGTATGTTAGAGTGTTAGCGCCTATAAATGGCTGCTTGCTCTGTATGCTTCCCAGGAAGTTGAGGTTGTTTCAGAATGCTCTCAGGTCTGCTGGGGTAATAGTATAGATTGTGAAGCGCATAGAGCTTGCTGCTGAGCGGGGATTTGCGCTATACAAATGCTATCTATTATCATTATTATTATTAAAAACGGAGATACGACAAGAAAGCACAGAGGTCGCGAAATGTCCTACCACTAAATCTACAACCTCGCTTCAGAACACAGAACAACCTCGTATAAACATCTACATAATGTGTCCGAGCACTGATCTATTATACACTAGTGCAGTCAACTGGCACAGCCAACGAGCCGAAACGAAAAGGTTCCGTCCACCTCCAGGGCAGCAACAAGGAAGAAACAACAGAGGGACCCGACACGCCCACCCCCCCACACAACGTTCCCATATGGGATTTATATATGCACCTTTAGAAGAAAAAACCCCCACTGGCACACAAAAACTGATACATCACGGGATACAAGGGGCTGGAAGTACACACAGGATTTTGGGATCATTTGTGGAGCATCAGAAATGACCAAACCTTGGACAGCAGATCCACAACAAACAAACTGTAAATGTGACACAAGAACAGACGCCACGTAACATCTCCTGTTTCTGGTGGCTCAGACAGTGTAGGTCAGATATTGAGGGTCACTCTGGACATCTGAAAACTTCCAAAAATTGAAACTCAACTGTATAATGGTAAAGTTGTTATTATAAGAGGTAAGAGCCAAAATGGACAAAAAAGTCACAGAAAGAGGGAGGGGAAAGAAAGTGTTACCTGAAGGCTGGACATGACCCCGTTGGCCAAACTGGAGATCTTGCCCGCGACCTTGGTGACCCCTTGCTTGACCCCGTCCTTGATGTCCTGAAGGTCCGGGGCGTTGGCTCCGTACGACTGCTGCTGGCGCCGGCTACTTCCTCCCCCGCTGCTGCCCCCGAAGAAGTCGTCGCTGGAGATGGACGATTGGCCCTCCAGGCGGCTCAAGTTTTGCTTCACCTCGTACTGGCCGGGGGAACAGCAGAAAACAACTCTTGTAAGTCACAATGATCGATGGATCAGCACATTCTAACACGAGTTCTCTTTGCTGGTTGAACATTCAACCAAGAATGGAAAAATCCCTCTCCTTGATCATTCCCTTAATTAAGCTGATAAAACTAAAACTATCATCTAGCAGTATTCATGTAAAAGAGATTCCTAGTTTTCTTTCTCTTCCAACATGTGGCCAAGTCATGAAACAGCTGTCTGTACGGGACAAAAGCTGGGATTAATCTTGGCCTATGATATCTCCTCTTTTGACTGTAGGCACTTCACCGTCCAATAAACTCCGGCCTTTTGCCCAGAGGAGACAGGTCATTCAAAACAACTAGAGTGTTGAATATCTCCCCCCCCTCTTGTTTGCATAAGAGTTTTACAGCATTGCAACACAATCAGGTCATATAAGTTCAGAAGATGAGAGGTGCTATTAGAGTATAACACACAAATAAAAGGAAGAGAGATATTGACGGCAGATATTTGACAGAAAAGAAAAAGCAAACCCCAGAGGAGCACCTGCTAGTTTTTGTAAGAGTTTTACGGCACTTTCAACACAATAGGATCATATAAGTGCTGAAGATTAGATGAAAGAAGAGAAGAGATAAGGACAATAGATGTTTTACTTTGACAGGAAAGAAGAAGAAACAAACCCCAGCAGAGCACCTGCCAGCCACCCACAAAGGAAGAGAGATAAAGACAATAGATGTTTTACTTTGACAGGAAAGAAGAAGAAACAAACCCCAGCAGAGCACCTGCCAGCCACCCACAAAGGAAGAGAGATAAAGACAATAGATGTTTTACTTTGACAGGAAGGAAGAAGAAACTAAGCCCAGCAGAGCACCTGCCAGCCACCCACAAAGGAAGAGAGATAAGGACAACAGATGTATTACTTTGACAGGAAAGAAGAAGAAACAAACCCCAGCAGAGCACCTGCCAGACACCCACAAAGGAAGAGAGATAAGGACAATAGATGTTTTATTTTAACAGGAAAGAAGAGAGAAGCAAAGCCCAGCAGAGCACCCACCCACCACCCAGCCAGACTCACATTGTCACTCTGGTTGCCAAAGTACTGGTCCGACGAGATGGCCTTGGCGCTGCCAAACTTCTTCTGGGCCGCGTCGCCCGAGCCTGAGCTGGACGATTGGGACTCGTGTGTCGTCTTACGGCTGTACGTTGGCCTACACAGAGGGAGGGGAGAGGGGGGTAGGAGGGGGGAGAGGGGGGGGAGGGGACACACCAACAGAACGCATTAGCACCCGTGTGTCACCGAGTGGTTAGTCAAAGACTGGGACATTTTCACACATGTCACTTGAGGTCTGTTCAGTTTTAGTAAGTGTTTTACTGCACTTGCAACAAAATAAGGTCTGCTTAGTTTTAGTAAGTGTTTTACTGCACTTGCAACAAAATAAGGTCTGCTTAGTTTTAGTAAGTGTTTTACTGCACTTGCAACAAAATAAGGTCTGCTTAGTTTTAGTAAGTGTTTTACTGCACTTGCAACAAAATAAGGTCTGTTCAGTTTTAGTAAGTGTTTTACTGCATTTGCAGCACAATAAGGTTATATAAGTGCTGAAGATAAGAGGTGTTACAAGAGAGTAACAAACACAAAAAAGAAGCAGGAGAGGAGAGATCAGGATGATTGATTGATGTTTGATAGGAGCACCTGCCAACCACCCATGTGGTTAGTCAAAGACTGGATAGTTCAAGACAAGTCACTTGAGGTCTGTTTAGTTTTAGTTTCAGTGTTTTACGGCACTTGAAACAACATAAGGTTGTATAGGTGCCGAAGATTAGAGGTGTTACAAGAGAGTAACAAACACAAAAAAGGAGTAGAAGAGACTTGACATTTTCCCACATGTCACAAAAACTCTTCTCCGCTGTGATGGCCAGGGCCCAACAAACTAGTCATCAAATCGCGACCTCAGTGCTTTCTTGTCGTATCTCCATTTTTTTTTTTACATTGAAAATGTGATTTCTTCTTAAGCTCACTGTTTGTTATGAACTGTTTTCAAAGTTTAAAAAATGGCGATACAACAAGAGAGCGATGAAGTCGCGAAATTATGCTAAATTTTCCCCCCATCTTTGTTAGTGCAGCAATAGTCATGCATACACTGGGCCCCTCTGCAACAACAGCAAAATTCCCTTCCATTTGGTACTTGGCAGAAGGAATTTTGCTAGGACACCAGTATCCACTGATAAAAGCACAGTGTACAGTTTCAGAGCTAAGCTAAATCTGGGCGCTGTTAAGATCAAAACTTTTTTTAACGTGTCACAGCGCTGTGGAATCAGGCGCTCGTCAATTGTTGGGCATGTGGAGTTACTGGTATCATCTGACAGCTGATTTATTTGACTTGCTTCTAATTTTTTTTAATATCAATTTATATCGAATAGAACTCATTACATTTTCTATTGAAGGAAGTGAGGTCGCCTGGTTTCAGTGGTGAAATCAGCGAGAAAATGGCCGACAAAATATGGTAACCCCAATAGCTAAAGAGTCTTTGAAAACTGAAAAATGACATATTTTGTGCATTTAATCAATGTTTTTCAGTACAATTCACATGGAAATGTGTTTTTATATCATGTATAAAGAGGTTAAGCCAAAAAATAAAAATTCAATAAAAATGTCTTGGCGGAATATAGCCTGTATATCCGATTTCATTATTTTGACGAGCGCCTGATTTCACCACGCTGCGTCACAAATAGCTGCAAACAATATCTATCTAGAAAAGTATTTTAACGATGTTTTTAAAATTGTCATTCCGTATTTTTTAAACACCTTGTCGTGACAGAAAAAGAGTTCTTAGCTTATTTTTCACAACATTTCAAGATTAAGTAATGAATCGTCCAACGCATTTTCGTCATTTCGGCAAATTTAACTGAAAAATCAAAGGGAGGAACAAAAAATAAAAGGAGAAGTAGGAGATTTATGAGATTTAGAACAAACCAAGAGGTGAAAAAGCATTAGCAGCTCAGAGATTGCTTTACAAAATACGTGTACATTTCCCTCAATGCAAAAAAAATGCATTAGCAACCGTGACAGGCTTATAATGTAAAGCAAAATATGTTCCAGCACTATCAAAAGGCTGAGTGGGCCAACTGGTCGCTTTTAAGGACAAGCGGGCTAACCCAGATTTCGGGGGTATCCAGAAATCTTGACCTATACTAAAAGTGGGCATTGCCCTACCTACAGGAGAAGTTTGGTTTCATTGGTGTGTATATTTGTTTGGTTATAGAGAAACTCTCCTTGTCTTTCAGAAACTGAACAAGGGGCAAAAACTTTAACTTCGATTTTCTCATCAGCATTTTTTGGGATAGCTCCCTTGTGCTTAAAAGCGACCACATCATCCAAAAGCTAAGTGCACTAAATCCCGCCTCCTCTCGCTACAACAGGACAAACAGAACCTGTGTACTAGAGTACAACAGATGCACGGGTGACGCATTTCAGGGGTACTCCACACAACTACGGCCACCAGATGCAAAACAGGACGCGACAGCAATAACACAGACAAGATCTAGACGACCACACCAGAGCACCTATCTACTATCTGCCGGCCACTTCAAACACAGACAAGATCTAAACGACCACACCAGAGCACCTATCTACTATCTGCCACCCAATTCAAAGGCGAGACAAGAGACAACTGACTCCAAGCTAACCAAGTCAAAGCACAGACAGAAAATGTTGTCCCGGCACAGTTATGAGCATGACATTGATAAATCAGCCCATTTACAATTCTACTGTGCATAAGAACAGGTTAATGTCCCCCCTTTGGGGCAATTGGGAAAGTAGCGAGGAAAAAATCATTTGCAAGAAAAACTCTGAGGTACTTTGAGAAGACTGTGGACCATACTTGTGGGTACGATAACCACGAGATAAATTCCATGCCAGTTTCACTTTGAATCGATTTTTGTTGAAAAACAGTAAGAAAAAAACATAGGAAAAGCATCAAAAGAGAATGAATCATTTGCCAATTCACTAGCGTCGCAAGAATGCAAAGCCACTGGAACAAGACCACCGTTAGGTACAGTTGAGGAAACAAACAAGGAAAAGAAAAACAATCTTATCCTCCCGCGGATGGCGAGCAAAGATTCAGGTAAGTTAGGAAACAGTTTCAGATTTACGTCAGATTTGGCCACTATAAGGATCCTACTAGTTGTAAAACAATACTTGGAATAGGTTTAGATGAGCAATGAGCACGTTCAATATTTCCCCCTTAATTCACACAGCCCTGAAGAAAAAGACAAAACGTGATTCAACTGAACAGGGATGCCATTTTGTGTTATTTCTGTGTTTTTCACCCGTTATTTTGGGCATCGTTCGTGATGAACTTTGTTTCATTGTTGAACTGATAAGATGTTTTGTTGCATTTATTGCTTCCTCCCATGCTAAATCTAATCTCGAAAAAATTGTCAGTTATTTTAACTAAAGTCCAGTGGCATCCCTGGCCGAACCTTTGGGAACAGAAGTAACTATCTCTGCACAGCCCTGAAGGAACAGACAAACTACGTGGTTCAGTGAAGTAACTGTCTCTGCACAGCCCTGAAGGAACAGACAAACTACGTGGTTCAGTGAAGTAACTGTCGTCTCAGCACAGCCCTGAAGGAACAGACAAACTACGTGGTTCAGTGAAGTAACTGTCGTCTCAGCACAGCCCTGAAGGAACAGACAAACTACGTGGTTCAGTGAAGTAACTGTCGTCTCAGCACAGCCCTGAAGGAACAGACAAACTACGTGGTTCGGTGAACCTTTTGGAACAGAGACAGAACCCAACAATCTCAGCCCAGCATCCTGAAGGAACAGACAAACTACGTGGTTCCGTGAACCTTTTGGAACAGAGACAGAACCCAACAATCTCAGCCCAGCATCCTGAAGGAACAGACAAACTACGGGGTTCGGTGAACCTTTTGGAACAGAGACAGAACCCAACAATCTCAGCCCAGCATCCTGAAGGAACAGACAAACTACGGGGTACGGTGAACCTTTTGGAACAGAGACAGAACCCAACAATCTCAGCCCAGCATCCTGAAGGAACAGACAAACTACGTGGTTCAGTGAACCTTTTGGAACAGAGACAGAACCCAACAATCTCAGCCCAGCATCCTGAAGGAACAGACAAACTACGTGGTTCAGTGAACCTTTTGGAACAGAGACAGAACCCAACAATCTCAGCCCAGCATCCTGAAGGAACAGACAAACTACGTGGTTCAGTGAACCTTTTGGAACAGAGACAGAACCCAACAATCTCAGCCCAGCATCCTGAAGGAACAGACAAACTACGGGGTTCGGTGAACCTTTTGGAACAGAGACAGAACCCAACAATCTCAGCCCAGCATCCTGAAGGAACAGACAAACTACGTGGTTCAGTGAACCTTTTGGAACAGAGACAGAACCCAACAATCTCAGCCCAGCATCCTGAAGGAACAGACAAACTACGTGGTTCGGTGAACCTTTTGGAACAGAGACAGAACCCAACAATCTCAGCCCAGCATCCTGAAGGAACAGACAAACTACGTGGTTCAGTGAACCTTTTGGAACAGAGACAGAACCCAACAATCTCAGCCCAGCATCCTGGCTGGCCGTCAGAGAGACGGGTCACTAGAGACAAACAACACCGGTCTGAACCAGGGGAAAAACAAGGGATTCAAAAGTCAGTTTGTCACCAATCTTTTTTATTCACGAAAAGAGTAGGAGGCAAAGACAAAAAAAGGGTACAAAAAATTGCATAAAAGTCGGCAGACCAACGACTTCCCATTCATAAAACCCTTTCTGACAAGCTTGAGAAACAGATACAACGTACAGCTGTTAAAAACAACAACAACTATATTTTAAAAATCTGATAAACTTGAGAAACAGATACAACTGATTAAAATAACAAATTACATAAAAATCAAAGAGAAAATATTCCTCTTTCCTTCCTCAACCCGTCCCTAAAACATCCCTGGACAAGATGTGAGCGTGTGAGAATGTGTTTTTCCCTGAGAGAGGAGAGACAGAACAAAAACATTGACACATAACAACTAAGACAAGTTGCGTCGCCCAAAAAAGTAAAAAGCAAAAATTTGCAAGGCACAATTCACGCAGAATTCAGTTTGAGCTACCAACAAAGGAGTACTTTAAATCAGGCCAAATAAAAGGAGACTAAAGGAATAAGTGCCGTTTAAAACAAAAGAAAAGTGGAAAACAGAACCAGCGAATCCACACACCAGCAAAAGGCAGTGTCGGGACAAGAAAAGTGACCAGGTCAACCAAACGTGAGGTGGTAACAGAATCTGAGCACATCACCACGGGTAGTAAACATCAAAACTAACAACAAAACTTGACAACACATGATATAAAAACTATACAAATAGTGCACAGCAAACCCCTGAGCCAAGCAAATGAACATTTTAGAAAATGAAAGTTTAAAAAAATACCAATGGGTCAAGTGAATGATACGTCAGTCACATAATATATATAAAAATTACGTGAAAGCATTTAAAAACACACCGTCCTATTGGCAAAACACACCATGGCAATCAATATGTCCCTCTGTTACACACACCATGGCAATATGTCCCTCTGTTACACACACCATGGCAATATGTCCCTCTCTTAACTTAACCCTATCCGTACGCCCTGTGGTCATTTTGCACCCCCGGGGTTGTATTCTTCACACTTTAGAAAACTTCTAGTGTGAAGATCTCTTTGAAACCTTCAGTATTTCTCCAAAATCATTTTGGCAGACTGCTTTACAAAGCGTGCAGATCAGATTAACGAGTAAATTTCCTCTTTGGAAAGTGGTGGCACAGAGTTCCCCACGTCGTAGGTATACAAAAGTAAAACATGACGTTCGGATAGGGTTAAACAGACCGTGGCAAATGTCCCTCTGTTAAGACACGGAGCTTACTTAAGCAAGCCAAGAACCAGAGACAGAACACCATTGATGGTGTTCATGTTTTCTCAACCTTTTCCCACCACGCCATTCAGCACGACCTGTGCTCACAATGACTCCATCACACAATATCAATAGCTCAAACGCGCTGTCAAGCATAGATGTGCATTTCATAAATGCATTTGTTATTATTCTCTCCATCATCATCATTATTATTACTATCCCCATTATTATCATTATCTAAGCCTATTTCTACCTTCAGGATTTATCATCAGCATAATTGAGGCGTAGGCAAATCTATAAAACCAGAAAAATAACAATTTCCATAACTTTAGTTTTACAAAGAGAAGCTTCTGACGTTCTTGTTGTTTTTCTTCCAAATAGATCATCTCTCTCTCCCACCTCAACTGTATCTCCCATTCAGTTGCTGTTTACACCTCCGGCCTAAATAAATAGAACCCTATTTTGCAGAGGGTTCGTGGAAACTTCTAATGTGACAAGTATCATGAAGAAGATGAGCAGAGTGACACGGATTTGTTCCTTATAAATTGATGCCGTCTTTAGATGATGGCACTGTGTCTGTCTTTTCCTCTTTACCCTGTTATACATTGGGGGG